TCATAAAATGCATAAACATACTTCATAAAATCCAAGTTATCTCCTGGATTTAATCATGTATCCCATACACACAAGCTAACAGCAACTCAGAAACAGGTTTTCTGGGGCTCAAGATATCAAATGGATCACTAATTGAAAAAAAATTGCAATGTCTTCTTCTGGCATGAGATAACACAACGGTTCAAAAACAATCACATGATCTCTGACAGCAGTGTGATTAAATGACAATCTTGGGCACATTCTTACTTCTTCACATTCCATTGATAACAAATAGGTTCTTTTGTGATCAATTTATTTTTGGAAGAGTTAATCCATCATCTAAGAAATAATTGCAAAGAAATTTCAAATGTGTCGTCCAGCAACAAATGCCCACATGTGTTTATTACAATTTTGCAGATGTATAAAACATAGGTTCAGATGGATAATTTAAAGTTTTGACCACACAGCATGATTTCTTTCACCTAGGTCAGCTACAGCTGCAATTACATATTATTCAGCTTCAACCAATTATACTAATATCTTCAACAATGCAGCAGTTATTTCTAAATTAAAGTAAAAATATATTAGCTTACAAGAATCCCTCATATCGTTATTATTTGAACTATGAATTCCTATGTAGACCAATAATCTTATCCTGTGCTTATTATAACAGATTCTGCTATATATTTTCATTTCATGAAATGAAATCGTAATAAATACATTCTTGGTCTCTTTATCTGTAATGCCTAAACATGCATAACTTGAAGCATATCATGTAATATAAGAGGGGATTTAAAAAAAAAAAAAAAAAAAACCCTCTCTTCAGAGTTGAAATACTAAGAAATGGAAATCCCGGTTTTTGTCTCAGATAACAGCAGAAACTTTTAGATATTGCCATCAATGTAGCACATTTAGAAATGTCATCTGCAATCCACTCAATATTTTTTTTTTTTTTTTTTTATCTATCAGACAACATATTTGATTATCTGTGAAACCAGTTTCTAAAATTTTTGTACCTCATTATGCATTTGCTTATTTTTATTTTCAGAAAGTTATATAATTTTTCATGAAAAGCAGCAAATTCAGTAATAATTTTTTCTGCACCTTTTACTTGACTACACAACATATTTAAACTAGTGTTTTCTTTTTTTCTAGCAATTCCACAAGTTAATTAAGTCAGATGTACACTGAGTTTACAATACTCTAATAGGATACAAGCAAATGTGCAAACTAAATACATTTGAATGTAAGCAAGCAAACTTAAATTTCAAACTGCACATAACATACAGTATGATAAGATTAATCAGTATCATATAATACCATGAAAAGTTAAATTTCATGATTTGCTACAGAGATACATTTTCAAACGTTCAAAATGAGATATATAGTATACAGAAAATGTTTTTCAAGGAACTTAAAATTAATTTAAAATGTAAATCCAGAAGTAAAATGTTGAATTTTGTAAAATGCATTAACAAAAAATATTTTTTACTTTTTAATTTGAAGGATCGATAGTACGAATTGCCAATCTAAGTTTCATTGTAAAATCAAAATTAGTTTTTTAAAAAAGAAAAAGATTCAGCTCCTTTAAGAATTTTTAAATGAAACTATTTTACTTTCATACTAGCCATTTTCACTTTTATGAGAAATTATTGTATAAAAATCAAACCTTCACTATTATACACAGCTCGAAAAAAATAAGCAGTAATGAAATTAATCTTAAGAGAAGAACAAAGATTATCAAAACTGCTAAGTTAAGTATTCAAAAGGAGAGTTTTTTTTTTTTTTTTTGTAAAAGGATATGAATTGCAAAATCACTTCGTAAAATACAGCACAAGTTCCCAAAATCCCAGATGTCCAGTTACCAGAATAATTTATTACCTGGACCTTCCATAAAATACTTTTCTTTTTCTCACACAATGTAGGAATAAATAATACAGTACAAAGTCCAAAATCCGGACGTCCGTAATCCGGAAAAATCTAAAATTGGAACCTCAAAACCACCAAGAAAATTTTTCTCGTAGGCTTTATGCATGCGCATTTGATTTCCCCCTTTGTGCATAATCTGGAGAATCCCGATTCTTAATTTCACTAAGACACTAAATAAAATACCTTGTTATTGAAGAAACAATCATTTTAGCATAAATTTGTACGATCACTAATTTGGCTTCGTTGCTGCGTATTTGCTTGGCACGCATCTCAAACCGAAACATTCGACATAGATACATCGTTGATCTGACGCCCAACCTGGCGAATCATTATTTATTCTACTTTCATTTCATTACCGCATGTTTATCAAAACATGAACAACTGAAAAATGAATTATGTACGATTGCCAAAAACCATTTTTTTATGTTAGTATTTGAATAATAAAGGAATGTGGTAACCTTTTATATTGACATTACGCTTGGCGATGATTACAGATTTCAGTTGCGCTAAAAAATGTTGATGAGGAAAAATTTACCAAAAATTTCTTTCCATATGCTAAAAATAGATTTTGTTGATGATACTCATAGACTCAAAGGTTACATTTAGATCATAAATACTTCATTATCTCATAAATCGCGATTTCATATTTTTAATTTTATAATTTCTGCATGCCATCTTACCAGATTTAAACAGATGATCTATAATCCGGAATCGCCGAAATCCCGACGAGTCCAGATTAACGACTTTTGACTGTACTATGAATGAGTACTTGGATCAAGATAAACTATTTTTATTGGTCTTATTACGTTTTAGACAGTTTGGGTAAATGTTGCTGTTTTCAATCAGATTATAATTGTTGAAAGTAATAATGTCATCAATACTACATCTATAAGTATGTTCAAATTTACTGAAATCATTATTAGAAAGGCCTTTAGGAATTTGAATTCTTTAGAAAATAAAAATAAGTTACAAATATGAGTGGAATATGAACTTCCCATTGGAATTCCTTGTGTTTGCAGGTAAAGAAAGTTTGAATGTTTACTAATATAGTTATTGTATAGCAAAAAATGTAGAAATTCTTTCCATTTTTGTAAATCTAGAATATTAAGAATTTCAGAAAAAATTTCTGTAATTTTTAAAAGACTTTCATAGATTTCTTTGAGTGGCAGAAACATGTAGAGGTTTTCATAGCAGTTATTATTATAAATTTTAAGACTTCTAACTTCTTCAGTGATTTTCAAGTAGTCGTAAATAATCCAGCAGAATACTAATTCAGAAGTCAAACAACAAAAATCAGCGTTATATTTTCAAAATTTTCACAGGACTAGTTTCGTTGGTTTTACCGAACCACCATCCTCAGCTGCAAAACCGCAAATGAACAGATATTAAATAATGATTAGATAAGATAAGAAACCTGACAAGAATAAGCAAGTGTGCCATCTGTTGGTGAAACCAAACTAAAACAAATTTCTTTAAAGGCCAGTGAATTTCTAGGAGAAATGTTTTTAACCTTTTTTACAAACTCTATTGAATTTTTTATGGTGTAAATTTACTCATGGTTTCTTTTGATGTAAAATCATTATTCACCAATGTTCCAGAGGAGGGTGCATTAAGATGTCTAGAAACCAGACTTCGTGAATTTCATTTCTCTTGCATCGAAATTGATGAGCTAATTTCTCTCACTCAACTCTGTTTGAAACATACACATTTTGTTTGCCAAAATAAATATTACAAGCAAACTGAGGGATTAGCCATGGGAAAGCCCCCTCAGTCCCATCCTGGCGGCTGATATCTACATGCATTATTATGAATCAAAATTGTTTGAAACTTTAAACTTCCCGGCATGGTTCCGCTACGTAGACGATACTTTTACCCTGTTTGAAGGTAATAAAGATGATTTAAATAAAGTTCTTTCAACAATGAATTCTATTGATCCTGCTATTCAGTTCACTTTTGAACTTGAGACTTGCAATTCTCTTCCGTTTCTCGACATTCTGGTCACACGTAACACATCCAACTTCAGTACTACAGTTTACCGTAAACCTTCATCGGTTTGCCTTCCACCACACTTTAAATCATGTCATCCGACTAAACAAAAGTTAGCTTCATTTTATTCCTATGTTTTCCGTGCTCTTCAAGTTTGCTCCTCCAAACTAGCCCTTGATGAAGAACTAAATTATTTAAAAGCAATAGCTATTGACAGGGGCTTTTCACCCAACATTATTAATCAAGCAGTTAAAAAATTCTCATCTCAACACACTAAAAGCCACACTCTTATTTTAGGAGATTATAAAAATTCTGTTGTCATTCCCTTCTTTTCATCAATTAGCTATAAAGTTGCACAAGAAATATCCCTTAATACAAATTTTAATTATCCTAGCAAATAAATTTACCAACTTCCCGCTGCCTTCTCTCAACAAACGTCCAGTATCAAACCCAGTATCCAAGAGTAACATAAAATTTAAAAACTGCACAGAATTATAGCCCTCATTTTTCCAAGTGGTAAGAGCTCAGCTGATTTTCAATAGTCAGCAGTCCAGTATACAAAATTGACTGAAAAACTGTTGCCAAAATCACATTTCTAAAAGAATGAAACTATTCAAAATGATGCAATTTCATCAAAAAAGATAAAATATAAAAAAAATCTGATTCGAATTTTGAAAAAATTGCTTTGAGATGCACCTATGTACGAAATTCCGTAGCCCTGGGTCTATTAGCTTACACGCAGCATGAATGAAAGACATACACACAGATTCTTTCTTTTATTATACATAGAGATGTCCAGAATGTTAAATGCTTTTTCATCTTTGTAAGAAATAAAACTTTGAAAATAAAATTTTGAGCACATAACTTAAAAAGCTTTAGTAGAAACTCTATCCAATTTCTAAGCTAAACTAATGTACTGGAACTAGAAACATAATAATTATAATTTAGTCTTTTGATTCAACTATGTTCACTGCTTGGTAAACCGTACATGCTATCACATAATTCTATATATATACTAGCCACTAATCACAGAACTTCATAAAGAGTGGAATAAATTTACTTAAGAGTAAACCATTAGAAAATAAACTAAAAATGAAACTCTGATATATATTATATATTGCTTTATTCAATTATATATTACTTTATTCATGACTATGATATATTATATTAAAATATTTAACATTTTGATCTTTTCTGCTAAGGCAATCACATATCATTCTTTGTTCTTATACATAACACACATTGCTTTTTGATTTAAATGCTTCTGGACTTTTACCAGAACTTGTTTCAATTGCCTTAAAAATACATCTATATCTTCTTTAGTAACTCCTATTGTTGCTGATGCAGTGAAATAACTTACAAATGGTTCATCAGTATGCATGCCCCAGTTTTTAAATTTATAACCACCAACAGTTTTATCATCACCAGCTGCCACTAATCTTGCACCCATAACAAACTTTGAAAAAAGCATAGATCCAATCTCGGTTACAAATTTATGATGATGAGATTCAAATTGTTTTAAAGTAAATGCTACAGACAGACAATTGCCGGGTACTTCAAGAACGTTTTCCCCAAATTCAGAAGCAATCTTTTGAAGTTCTTCTTTTAAATATATATATAAATTTTTCCTTTGCTCAAGTAAATTTAAATACCCTCTTTTACCAATATTTAGCAAAGTTATGAATACATCTGTGGAAGGAGTTCCAGAACCCCGTCCAGGGTACATTTTACCCACTTCCTCAACTATTTTTGTATCAAAGCCACATATAACTGAACCACCAACAGGAACCATGAAATTTTTGTCTGTGCTTGAAATAAATAAATCCACTCGCTTTGCAGAAGCATTTTCAATAGCTTCCAAATATACTGGACACTGAATTCCATAAGCATTATTTATCACATGAGGAATATCATATTTCTTACATAACTTAGCAATTTCTAATAAATTATCTGGTTGTTTAGGAGCAAAACTCGAAGTAGTACTCATAATACATACAATATTATCTGATTCAATGGTTTCTATTTTGTTTTCGATTTCTTTTAAGCATCCTCTCTGGCCATCTCTAATTATTTCATTTTTTATTATTACTGGGATAAGTCCAGCAGTTAAAATGCACTTAAAGCAAGACTTCTGATCAACTCTAGGCCATATCACATATTTAGCTTTTGGTCTTTGATTATGCAAAGTTCGTAAACAAAGCATCATGCTCATTCCAGTTGCTAAAGGCACAATCATACATTTTTTCAAGCTAGGCACACCTAATGATTTCAAAAGATCTAAAACCATGTTATTACAAACCTGTCCAATTAAACTGGAGCCAGCTGCCTTAGGTTGTATTTCAGTTATGTCTCCGGATCTTCCAATGCCATGACCCATGTAATAGTGCCTGCGAGCAACAATTTTAGAGGCAAATCTTGCTTCCCGTTCACCAACTCCGCAACTACCTAGAAAATTATTACTATCCATCATAGCAATCTCATGAAGAAACACTTCAATTTCTTCATCATTCCAACCATCTTCTGGGCATGATTTTTTCGTAAGGAGATTTAAGATTTTTTTCCGCCGGCTCTCAAATGATTGTTGAGCTTGTTCAGAATATTGACGCACAAACGTTTTAGTAGCGGCTATGGCGTTCGCATCCATTATTCAAATTAATCTCGGCATAAAATTATAAGTTTTCAGTTTTTCATATTACAAACAAAAATTAATAAATGGAAGACACAAAAATAATAACTTAAAATGACGTGCGAAAGATAAGCATATCACTATTTGCGCATCTTACGACTACGACTTTCTGCTCACCGGTCAAAAAATAAATAAAACATTTAAAAAGAAAACAGCGATAACAGCAGTTTTTTTTTTTTTTTCCTACATTTCATTTCTACATTTTTACTTCCTTTTCGGATCTACCTTTGCATTGCAATCTGAAAACTAGTATTTATTCTTTGTAAAGTGTTCATGCAAAATTCGCGCTGTAACATCAGCCCAGGGGGGGGGGCCCAAGAGCGATGCGCAGTGCAGGGAGAAAGTTATGCCACATGCGCATGACGTCATGTGGGTGACAGCGTTAGTTCTTGGCGTTTTGTTACTTTCGTTGCATCAACAGTTTGATTTGATTTTGTTGTTAATTTGCTATTATACCTAGCGGAAGTGGCAAATTGTGCTATAGCGTTGTGTCAGAATTATACACACGTTAATACGTTTTTTGGTGGAAAACACTCTTTACAACCAGATAAAATAACTATTTTTTTAATGAATTTATGTAGTTTTCATACATAAATGTGATGTAATTTTACATTTATTTTTCATTTTACTGCTATTTTACATTTAAAATTGAAAAATTTCTCATTTTAAACCATTTTTATTCATAATCTTCATTTGTGTATGAGACTTACATCGTAGTGAGATATTTAAACTCAGTGTCATGTTTTACCATCTGAGTACCTGAATGATTAGTTAATAAATTCGCGTATCCAACTTCATTCACATGTTTTGGTTACTTTCTTTACATTCCAAACGTAATTCTATGTATTGAAGCAATGTGTGGTTTAAGCATTTCGAACTAATTAAACTGATACATGCTTCACCATGAGGAAAGAACAATTTCTCGACCACACTATGATGCAAACATCGACTGCGTGAGTGACATATTTCCTTCAGTGTTATTTAACTGATGCATATATCTGATGTAATTTAATTGATATAACTAAGTGAACTTACACCTGCTTAACCCTGAAGGAAAATAAATCTGTGTATTGTGGTGGAATACAAGCAGCGAAAGATTAAGTAAGAGTAATCTCTGTCAGTGTTATTTAACTGCTGCATATGTTTTAAATTTTGATTCCATATAACTTGTTTTTAATTATAAGAGAAGAAAAATACTTCAATATTGAACGCATATTTCGAGTAACAAAAGTATTTTAAGAAACAACCTGATAAAAATACATTAGTAATTAAAAATATTTAATTTGTGTACAGGCTGAATTGAAAATTAAGATGTGGTGGTGTATTTAATTATGGCAAAGCCCACTAGGGCTATCTGCGTGGTGTGATGCCTTCGTGGAGGACTTTTCTCAGGGAAACTGGCTCGTATACACGTTACACATGAGGAAAACCACGAAACAACCCATGGCAGCCAGCCCGTTCGCGGGATTCGGACCGAACTACTACCCAGTTGTTCAGCGACTTTACCGCTCGTGGGCGACTTGTCCGGCCGGCCGCTGGTGGGCCGAAACTAAGATGTAGGGCAAGTTTATTATTATTATAATTGTGCGTATATGTGTAAGAAAATGTATTTTAATTGTTCCATTTTTAATGTATGGAAGGAAGAATAGGATGCCAATATCGAAGATTATTTACTATAGCAAATAATCACGTCAGGATAAATGTTATATAGAAATCTTGGTTGAGTGTAAGGGATTATAAAGAGTACTTTAGATTATATGAAAAATATACGCACTTCTGCTAAAATCTGAAGTGAATCAGTATGAAGTGACTTTTCACTTTAAAAAGAATGAGATAGTATACTATTTTAAAAGTATAATGACGGATATTAAGAAATTTGTAGAATTTTATAGTATTAAATATGAATTTGTTAAGTCAAATCTTTTATATATATTTTTGCTTGAGATATGTAATTTTAAACTGAAATCACGATCATATTTTCTCATGGAATGTCAAAGTTCATTTGTATTATAAAAAAAGTGCATGAGCAATGAAAATAAATAGAATAATACTTTTTGATTATGTTTTTACCATGGTCTTAGCAGTTATGCCATCATGTGTTTTCTGTTCAACAAGATTTTTTAGTGCAAACAATACTACTACGAAAAATATTGAAAAATACCTTGTTTTACAATATTTATTTCCCTTAATTAACTTAAATATCGTTTTTCATTTTCTAATGCTTTCCTTTACGAAAAGAATTTAATGTTTACAATTATTTTCAGCATTCGTACGAATTCTGTGCATAAAATAAACATTTTTTTAACAAAATACTTAATCGGAAAGTATATACCCGGTATTTCCGGTGTATCTACCACATATAAAATGATCATTTTGCTTTAGTTTACATTTTTTCCATTACCAAAATCATGTAGCAGACGCGTCGGCCGATGCGTCTTGTCTCCCGGGTGACGTCACTACCAGCAACCAATGGCACGCTTTTTCCGTTCCTGGCCTAACCTTAGTATATTAAAGAACCTTGACATCAGCCATATTTTCCTTATCTTCGACTCCAAAGAATAAAATACAAATGAAAACTAATAAATTTTCTGAAATTTTATGGTAAATAAATGCTTCGTAAACTGGCTTCTAATTGATTTATTTTCGTACTATCTTTTAGCTTGCTTAATTCAATAAGCTCTAAGTAAAATCTTTTACTTACATTTCAGGTTATCTTCCAGCCATTTCAAAGGGTTTCTTCATACAGTTAGAGGAAGAAGTAGAACTTCTCATCTTTTATTAATATTTGTTGTTTTCTTATAAGCGAGAACGAACAAGCGGAAGGAAAAAGTGTTAGATTGCTTTTAAATGTCGTCGAGAGTAGAACTGTTACCTATTGATGAAGAAGGCCGATCTCGCTTAAGCAAGCCAAACCTATACGGATCTCAAGGCCTTCTAATGACTGATTCCAATGTGCCTCATCCGCAACCTGACTATATCCCTGAAAATCTAGATACTGGTAACCACGGTTTAAGTAATTATAAGGTGCTTGATATTTTAAGTACTTGGAAGGTATTTCATGTATATTGAATTTATTTTATAATCTCATTGCAATGAATCTTTAATGAAAGAAATAAAACTTTTAAAATAAAACTTTTGAGCACATAACTTTAAAATTTAATAAATTAGTAATTTAAAGAAAACTCTTACTTTTAATACAATGAAATTAGATTTTTAAAATGTAAAAAAATAGTAAGTGGGAACATAACACTCAGAAAATATTTCTGTGCATGTTTTTAGTTTTATTTTAGAACATTAAAAATTAAGACTTCTCAAAGTGAAAAACCTTTAGTAAAAACTCTATCCAATTTCTAGGCTAAACTAATGTACTGGAACTAGAAACATAATAATTATAATTTAGTCTTTTGATTCATCAACTAAAGTGCAAAATAGACCACTTATTTGGCGTTTGTTTGGCGCTTTTACAAGAGCAAGAAAAATTGGATTTTTGTCAATTTTCTTTGACTTTTCAAGTGAAAATATGTCGATGTATACATGGATAAAATCAAGGGAGTGTGCAATGCCGTTTTTGTGCAATTCTGGGATGTTTTGGTTGATCTTTACATTATGGTAACTTGGCGATTTTTTGGCGAAAATTTGGCAACCAACTCTCCTACAGCAACCCTCTATTTTTTTTTCCCCGCCGCCATTTTGTCTTCACGAAGTAAAGACATGTTTCTTTTCTTTTTATCTACTGAACACTTCTTCCAACAATCTACTAGCCGAATTACACTTATGCTAGAAATTTTATCAAACAAAACTGCTTAATCATGACAAATATTCACTGCAAAATTGGGAAAAAGTGCACAATACCATACTCCTTACGCGTTTTTCAAAATAACACATACACATAAACCATGTACACACACCGACTTATTATTTTTACTTAAAAAAAAATCCCAGAATTGCACAAAAATGGCATTGCGCACACTCTTCACTATATCCATGTACACTGCTTTTTCTCATAAATTAGAAAAATTTCACGAAAATACATGACAATTTTCTCAATCTTTAAACCCGGTAAAAAGAACATATATGAAATTACCTGATCGCGAAAAAGTATTTACCCTTTACAAATATGAACATTTCCACATATAAAATAAATAAAATATCCAAAAACTTTTACCTCTAAATCATCTATTACATTATACATGTCACCAACGAATTCATACCACAAGCATTACAAATGCTTAGTATCAAATATTTAAATTATTTCCATGCACGTTTACTTCAACTAAAAATGTATACCAAATTCCTACAAACATAAAATTCACAAAATAACTATCATTTCATTAAAATATAATTAAATTCAAAAACACTACTTAAAATATAAATGAGCACATACATTAAATTAATAAAAATTACCTTACAATCCTAATTACTTTAAACTAAATCATTGCTAATAACAATTTTCCCAATAATACCAAATTCCTTTCCACCTTACATTTAGAACAATGCATAAAAATAATATCCTCAAATAATTAAAAATACTAACTTACCTAATCTTCTTCAGAATCTTGATTACGTGGCGGATACACTTTTCTAATTCATTCAATAAAATTATTGAAAGATTTTTTTCTGCGAATTTTTCCTCCATACTTTCCTCCGCTAAATAAAAGCAAACTTCTCTTTATCACAATGCCTAAATACCCATTTCGAATTACTTTAGTTTAGGGGCCGTGGGATCCAAAAATTAACAACACTGTTTCACACAACACAGAATAAAGCTAAATACAAAATTTTCCACATTTTTTTTCCCGATTTCCCCCCTTTTCCCCCCCTTTTCCGTTTAAAGAACCGTAATTCGTCCATTAATATCACGACATATCCCATGATCTCTCATTTCCCTCACGCAAAATAATGCGTAATCGGAACTGAGTACCAAAGTCCCAGGTAGTAACCTTTATCGCCTCCAAAATGTCGCCAAACTACCAGTTACCATATTGTAAAGATCAACCGATGTTTTTTTAAGTGAAAATAGGTCGATGTGTACATGGATACCGAGTATGTGCAATTCTTAAAAATGCCCCAAGCAGTGGGCAATTCTGCACTTTCTCCCCTTTCATTTTTATAATTAAAAATTTATGGGTATTTTATGCGCACTATTTTTTAGAATTAATTGAGAAATAAAATAGTGTCAAAACTAAAGGTAAAACTGGATATTATGGTCCAGTTTGGCGCATTTTCGAAAAATTGCCAAGTCGCCAAATCAGTTGTTTTCGAACATTTCAGAAAATTGCTAACTTATCATATCGCCATATTAGAGGGTTGCGAATTTGAATTAATTCTGTAAACATGAAAAAAATAGATCATGTAAACATGCAAAAATATCTAAAACAGGACTTCAAGAAAAACGGGGAAAGTGCAGAATCACTCACTACTTGGTGCGTTTTTAAGAATTGCTGCACATACTCAGTATCCATGTACACATCGACCTATTTTCACTTAAAAAGACAAAGAAAATTGACAAAAATCCAATTCTTCTTACTTTTGTAAAAAGCGCCAAATAAATAAGTGGGCGATTCTGCACTTTACCCAAAGTATTTGAAAGTTAATAACTATGTATTTTTAGGATCAACAATATTAAAAGTTTTCATAATATCATATATCATTTTTAAGACAGTAGCAAAAGGGAGTAAAGCATTTTATCATGAAATTTAAGAAATTGTAATAAGCAATAAATGATCGGAAAGCAACGATTAAGTCGCCAAGTTAAAGCCTTAACTTGGCGACTGGACCGTAATCTCCAGTCTAGCCAAACTGAAATTATCATTGGTGAAATGAAAATATGTGAACTAATTTCTTGTGGAATTTTTTTTTTTTTTTTTTTTTTTTTTTTTTTTTTTAAGTGTTGATCTTGTTATACATATTGAATTGTATTTTAGATATGTTAATCTCTCGTACATGAAACCATAATCCTTAATCTTGCGAACATAGTTTTAAATTGTATTGTAGATATGTTGATCTTGCAAATTTTGGATACATGAAAACAGAATTTGTAAAATTTTATGAATGTTTGAGTATTTTCCTGAGAACTTGCACTTTAAAGGGGAAATAAATTGTTTTCCAATGAGTGCCTGGCTATTGTGGCCTTTGGGGCAATGAACAAGCGGCCTTACTTGCAAAAAGAGGTGCCAGCTTACTACAGCATCCTAATATAGCCATTTCTTATTGGAGGATTAAACTGTTTTCAAAAAGTTTATTTACGTTTAATTTCTCATGAGATCTTCAGACTCGTACAGAATTAAGAAGTTGGAGAATGATAACTTCTCTTATTCCTAGTAGTCCAAGATGCAATGCAGTTGTGGTTTTTCCTTCTGTCTACAGGACATGATTGACTTGCCTGCATCGCATAGGTATTTCAAGCGATCCTGTTTGTCCACTTTGTATTTCTGGAGAAGAAGTGGACAGGGACCACCTGCTTCGATATGGTCTCTTCATGGTCTTACAAAGAAGTCGAGATATTGGGAGGCAAGAGCATTCCTAGGCAATGGCTTCGGTCTTTTTGTTCTTTGTTCTATTGTTTGTAAGATTTTAGTTCTTTATAACTTTTTGCCTAGCCATTGAAAATAATAATAAAAAAGTTTGTGTATTTTTGGCATAAATGCAGTTTAATTCATTTGCGATTCTGTGAAAGCATTGCATGCATGATAGCTTGATTTATTTTTGTAATGGATAAAATGCCAAGTATTTGTTTTCTGTAAGTTAATGCTAAAATTCACAAAGAAAACTGTGATTTTTGTTACTGAATAAAAATTGAAACTAGGTCATGGCTTTCGCAAATGCTGTATACTTCAAAGTCCAAAATGTGGACATCAATCTATGGAATGATCTGATATCCATACCACCATAAAATAAAACAAATAAATAGGTTAAAATACAATAATAAAAAGTTGCCTCAGTACAAAATCAAGGAATGGAGAATATCAACAAAAGAAGGAGGTGTGCCATAAATGCAATTTTTCTCTCAATTAACTGAGATTCCAATATGTCAGTTTCAAACACTTGCTGTCTATGGAGCTGCACTGTAGCCAAGAAAAATACATTAATTGGCATATTGATGTTGATCAAGATCACCCTTTCAGCCCTTGAGTTCTTGAGAAATTCAATGATTATTTTTCTGATTAATATTTCTTTTTGCATTGCACACGTTTGTTTTTGTAGTAACGAATCAAAATGGGACTGTGGAGTGTGCCAGCTAATGAAAACGTGCTGCATTTCTTCAGAAATATGGCATTTTACTGAACAGTAGATAGTTAAAAACTCACATTTTATGAAACTGTACTATACAAAGTTCAAGATCGAGGCTCATTAAGACTTTCCGGGGACTCTGGATGGGGGAGTTTTCTGGATATTAAATTGTCAATCTAAATCTACCTAGATGACATGTAGAAAATATAAAATTAAAATTCTGAAATAGTGGTTTATGAAATAATGAAGCATTTGATTTTAAGGCAATCAGAATTTAAAAAAAAAAAAAAAAAAAAAAAAGGCTCAATATTCATTTATTTACTTTCTTAAACATTTCTTTCAATGTAAGTCGCTTAAGTTCCTTAATTTTTTTGCTAATACTTTCTCTTTAATACTATAGGTAGACATAAATTCTTGTTCAGTTACTAAGTTCCATTGTTCAAGCCCTGTAATTCTCATATTGAGAATTCTCATCGAAATTTTGATGTTCCAAACCACCTCTCTGCCACCGTCTTCACTATTGGTAGTGATATTTTCTAGATTTAGAACCATGCTACTGATTTCATCACCATTCGTTAGTTGACTAATGATTTGGACATTGTCATCTTTTTCATCTTGTTTGGACATTGTCATCTTAATGAAAAGCTTCAGTTATATTTCATTATCAACTACTTCTCTATGTTTCTTCACAAATTCCATTAATTAAAAAAAATTGCTTTTTTGTGTGTGCAGTGTCTGAAAACCTCCAAATTCTTGGCTATTTTCATAAAGCTTAGCTGGTGTCTGTTAGTGATATATCATGAGCTTGGCACCTAAAGACATGTTCTTCTACTAAATTTTGTCTTTCTTTTATCACACACTGATAAAGCCATGCCTGATTTATGTTACTAATTTATTTTATTTTGATTTTTTCCAGGGCTTATACGAGTCCTGAATAAATAAATTCTCACATATACTTAAGGCTTGTCCAGAGCCGGTGCTAGACGTTTTGTGGCCCAATGTAGTCTCTGCAGGTTCTAAATTCTACTGCCTAATGCTTTCGTAAATTCTAAAAACTTTGCATCCAAGTTCCTTAAATTTTAATAATTCTGCCATCCCTTAATTTTGTTGCTCAATGCTTCTTGAAATTCTAAATTCTGCCCCCCCCCCCCTCAAATGCTTCTTGAAATTCTAAATTCTGCCCCCCCCCCCCCGGTGCAGCCACACAGCTCTGGTGCCAGTCCTGGTCTTATCTGAATAACAGATCAATCGTTCTCAATTTCGGAATGCACAGCACTAAATGTAATCCTTTGGCCTATGAGTATCATTTACAAAATCTATTTTTTCCATTTGGAAAGAAATTTCTCCTTATCAACACACTCAACTCTTCGCAATGCAGTTAGCTGAAGCTGTAATCATTGCCAAGCATAATGTGAACATAAAAGGTTATCATGATGTTTAGTATTCAATTACTGATAAACAAAAATTGTTTTAGACATTGCTGCACGAGTCATTTCTCAAAGAGCTGTGAGTTGATAGTCATGTAATGAAAACGTGAAAAATAATGAAAAATGATTTTCCATGTTGGTCATAAGGGTTATATGATATTAGAATGTTCTGATTTGAGTATACTGAAGTAATAATGTGGCTTTGGAACCAAATTATTGATTATACAGATTTATGCTAATAAATGATTGTTTCAGTATGGAGGTATTTTAACATCAAAATGAAATTAAGAATCGGGACTGTGTACATGTTTTATTATAAGAAGTTTGTTGGTTGCCTGGAGGTCTGTATTTTATCATTCCAGATATTGAACATCCAAATTTTGGTTCTTGTATTGTACTTCAAAACAATCACATTTTATAGTAAAGCAGTGTGAAAAATTGCAAGCAAAGTGTACAGTAGGGGTCAGAAACTGGTTCAAAAATAGCTATATTTTGTTTAAAATAGCTCTTTGCGTATTTTTTGTTAGAGAGAGGAATATACGTTAAAGATATTTTGTGAAGAACTACTGGGAATATCCCCAATTATGAATTGGTATAATTACCTCTTAGACGTGTGTGTTTGTTTTCTGGGAAAAAGTGGAACGTGTAAAAATAGGCAGTACTGGATGCATCAATAAGCATAATGAAGGTCCAAAAAATATTTCTTTCCAAAATTATCAACTGATTTGCATCATTTTGGTGGAGATGTGAAAAGTATTAAAGCAAATTTTATTATCTCCTCTAATTATTATTATTATTATTTTTTTTTTTATCTGTTTCAGATCATGCCCAGAAATTTGCTGGCATTGGACTTGAAATTGCAAGGTAGAAAAGTTTATTTTTTGCTTTTTGAAATTTTAGGTTTTCTGTTATGTTTTGTTTCAATGAGTACTTTTCTGATTATTTCAGTACGGTGATTGGGAGTTTAATATCTCATCCATGCATTGTACTCCGAAGGCAGTGTCAGGTAAGTTAATGTATCTATTTAGAAAAACTTAGTTGAACCAATTCCAATGGAAAAAAAAAAGGGGGGGTTAAGAATACTATTTTATCAGAAGAAATATGTTAATGATAACTATAGGATCTCTTGGGATTGTTCTCTGTAAAATATCAATAGCATACTAGTATTATTTAACTTTTATCGAAAAAATGAAGGCATCTAGAATTAGCATAATATTCATAAATTTGCTGGACTAGTTTAAAAAATTTAAATGTAGAATTTTCTTTAGGAGCAGGAGTGCAAATGATGAAACAGATGTCTGTATTCAGGCTATAACACTGAACAGCTACTGGCACCACCTATTGATGAAAAAGAAAAATAACTATGAAATAATTTCTTTAAAAGCTGAGAGTAAAGACAGATTAGGACTGGATTTATTAATTTGAATTGAAAGATTTTTATTAATAGGAAACGCCTATAAAAATATAATTCACCAACCGATATTTTTTAAATAACTTTGGCTGCAGTAAAATGGAAAATATGATTTTCTAACCAACAGTGTTGAACAGTGGGAGATTTATATGTTCCCCCCCTAACATTTGTCTCATGTTTTTTTTTTTTTTTTTTTTTCCCCGTGAAATTTTAAATGCTCTTTTAGTTTGACTAATGCAAATTGAACCACATTAGCAAGGAATCCTATACATACCCCATGAGTTCATATCCAGAATGTGTTCTTTAAGCATAGAACTACAAATTTTATTGATAAAAGAGAAAACAAGCTGAAAATTGAATTTCTGAAATATATGTACAATTTTATAATTAATAAATGGAAGGAAAAAAATGATAACATAATTCTTATAATTTTCCAAAACAAAAGAGAACTTTTTGGTGTATTGAGATGAGAATTTTTTTAACGCTTGCCCAATAAGATTAGGTAAAGAGCCTCTGATGCTGCTTTTAAGTAGTTTCATTCTTGATCAAAAGCCAATCTGGAGAAGGAGATTTGAAGTGCTCATAAAAGGAATAAATAAGATGAAGCTAACTTCTGTTTAATGAAATAACTTATTAAGTCAAAATACATATTATAAAGAATTCTGCTGTCATTCCTTTTGTAATGTCACTCAATTCTTCTTGTCTCATCAAAGAAATTATCTATGCTTCTTTATATTTTTAAATGTTTATTACACTTAGAAAAAATTACATACTAGATCACTAAAACTACACTACTAATAAATGAAATATGTGCATTAATTATTATAGGGCAATTTCATTTTCACAAAACGACTTCCATCAACCTTCCTCTTTCTGACATCTCTCTAGGTCTCCCTCTCAGAAAACTCAACGTTTGGCACCTCTCAATTTGAGAGCTAGTGCTCTCTAGGCATCTCTTGAGTTGATGTCACCCATACATCACACACCCCATCCAAGATTGAAATTGGGTGAAAGCCTTTTGAAAATATGACAAAAAAAATGGTTACATCAAATTAAAAAATTACTTACCTATTAATGTCAACAAATCATTCAATAATGAAGTTGAAAGATACATTAAAATACTTATACATATTATTTCTACATCTACTATGAGACATACTCTAAAGCTGTAACATATTAACAATTAGTAAACAAAATAATTCTAGAATACAATAGAATAATACTTAGAATATTTATGGGTGTCATATAGTAGATGCAGAGGTGTTTGTGCTCCGGGGATTTTTAACTTCGATGCCCGGAATCCAGGGATCATCGTTCAAAAGGAAGTAGGAATAATAATGAATTATTTATTTTGATCTGGGTAATTTTGTTTGCTTTGAAAGCAGAAAACGCAAGGTCAGTGTGTGTGTGTGGTGAAAACTTTTCCTTTCTTTCTCCAAAGGCAGTAATAATGCGTGAAAAGGGGGAAAAAACTTCTTTTTTGTTCTTTCCTTATTGCGAGTTATGACTCATTCCCCCGGTTCTCGGACATTCTCTTCTGGATTCTTTTCGGCAAGTAGGCGCGGCAGAAAAAAAAGGGAGAGACTTCATTCTACCAGATGTGCGATCATGTGACTCTGGGTTCAAAGGTCTTATCTCTCCTGGCGTGGCGCCAATAGGTAGAGAAGGGGGATTTTTTGCCGTACAGTGGTGCCTCACACAACGAACTTAATTCGTTCCAGGAGCAAGTTTGTTATGCAAAAAGTTCATTATGGAAAACGCGTTTTCCCATAACAATATATGTTAAAAAAATAATTCATTCTGTAGCATAAAATATGCTAAGATGACATAAAAAAAGATAAATTTTTTGTTATTATTTTTATTTAGATGCATCTAAAAACATAATTTAAAAAAAAAAAAAAAAAAAAAATTTTAATTTTAAGACAGACTAAGTAGAGTCTACCGAATCTTGCACATCTTCATCCATTTTCTGCTTTTTGGCCGATGGTTTCATGAAAAACCTGTCCAAAGTCATTTGTTTTTCTCTTTTCTCCAACATCTGCCGGAAATAACGGACAAGAGTATCGGAGTAAAGATCATTGATCCTGTTTTCTTCAGTTGAATCCGGATAGTGGGCATTGTTAAACTCCTGAACTGCTTTCCATTTGACCAGGATGTTCTTGATGTCAGCAGTTGGGATTGGTTGATTGTTTGATTGTTGCTCCTCGTTATCAGATGACGCTTCCCTTTGAGCATTGTCCTGTTGCTGGACCAGAAGTGCTTGGAGCTTGACAGTTGTCAGCTTTTCTTCGTGTTCCTCAATAAGCTCCTCTACATCCTCTTCCTCTACCTCTAATTCCAACCTTTGGGCCACTGTGATGATGTCCTTCACTACTTCTGTGTCATCAACTACTGCTTCTTCCTGGGTCCACGAAGGCACAAGCATCTTCCAAGCAGAAATGAGGGTCCTTTATGACACTTCTTCCCAGGCCTTCTGTATAAGTCGTATTGCCATAAGGACATCAAATTTCTCTTTCCAAAACTTTCGGACAGTCATATTATCTCCACCAAACTCGCATTCTTCAAACACCTTATTAAAGAGGGCTCTAGTGTAGAGTTTTTTAAAGTTCGCAATAACTTGATTTGATTGCATCCTTATTTGTCAAAATGGTGAAAATGGTGGTCTTGCTGAGGCCAAACTCTTTGATGAGGTCACACTGTTTTACCCCACATTCACTCCTTCTAATTATTTCCTGTTTCATTTTAACAGAAATCACCTTCTTGCTTTTCTTAGAAGCCATGATATAAAAAAAAATATTGATTTGAACTTAAAAGGACGATATCGAGTTTAACTTAAAAGGAGGTATTGCTGCAATACGTGCTTAAGTTAAGCGCAGCGACTAACGACTGCCTGCAGTGCCTGCGTGGAAGGATGCAATACATCGGCAGCGATCGTGAAAGCTCGGGCAAAGCAGTCGCGGGAGCTCGGACGAAGCAGTCATGGAAGCTCGGGCGAAGCAGTCATGGAAGCTCGGGCAAAGCGGTCGTGGAAGCTCGGCCGACTTCGTTGTGTGAAACGAAGTTCATTGTATGAATCACGAAATGAAGTTCGTTGTGTGCAGCGTTCGCTGTGCGAGGCGTTCTTTATGCGAGGCACCACTGTATTAGCTATTTGTCATTGATCGCTTCTCAACTTTTTTTTCTCCGCTGTGTAAAATTTTCGTTTCATTTATTGATGCACGTGTAAATTTTTCATTTCGTTTGTTGAAATATTTTTTTTTATTTATGTACGCAAGAGAATTTCACTATGAAATTTCTCGATATAAATAGTGATATTATACAATTAGAAGAAGGTGTCCGGAATGCATTTAGGTGGAATTTGATTGAATGGAGAGATGGTAATGGGGATACCATCGGCACATGGTGCAAGAAAATAAATGTTGCTGGACAAGCATATTGTGTTTTTTGTAATTCACTGTTGAAGTATGGTGGGGAAGGACTCAAGGCTTTCACAAATCATTCTAAAACTGTGACGCACATAAAATATTCAAAGTGCATTAGACATTCAATGACTTTAAGTAATTATGCTAATCAAAAAATACTGATGACTTACTGGAGACTGATGCTTGGCCATTGGATATAGTGACAAGAAAAGCACGCCAAGAGATATTAATAACTTCGTTTATCGCCGAGAATTCTCTTTCTTTCAATGTAGCTCTCAATTTAATTGAACTCTGCAAACAGTTGAGCTGCGATCAGACGGCACTAAACTCGTTGGAAATGTCCAGGACTACTGCATGTTATAAGATGAAATATGTGCTCACAAAAACTATTAAGGAAAATATCATTAAAACTTTAAAGGAGACTCCATTTTCTCTAAATTTTGGATGAAAGTACTAGCAATGCTCAAGAAAGTATACTGGCAATATTGGTGCAGTTTTATGACAACAATCAAAATGAAGCTGTAGTTCATCATTTTGCATCTCTAAAGATGGAATCTTGCAATTCAGAAGCTGTTTTAAAGCAGTTGTTAATACTATTGAAGATAATAATATTCCATGGGCAAACTTAATTAGTGTATTAATGGACTCATGTAACACCATGCGTGGAAAAAAAAGGGTGTTGAAACCAGACTACGATCAAAGCACCCCACTTATTAGATATTGATGGTGACACATGTCACACAGCTAATAACTGTGCAAAACCATTTGCTTCATGTTTTGATAGATACTTAGAAGATTTGTTTGATGACATCTATTTTGATATGAAAAGCTGCAGTAAAAGAGAAAATTTTTTCAAAATCTGTGAATCCTTGCCATTAAAAAACTTAAGCCCTTGAAGAGACCAGACCATAGGTGGGTGTACATTTTATGTGTTTTAGAAAGAATCAAAGATCTGTGGGATGCTCTTATTGCATTTTATTTTCACTACTTGGATAAAACTGATAAAGGGGATTATTTATGTTGAAACTGTATACAATAAAAGAAATATTTCTGCAGCTCAGAAAAAAATTGTTGAAGGGGTGTATTCTTGCTTGCATTCCCAACAACTCACAAAGGATGCTTTAGCTCGGAAAAAAAGAATACTAAATGGGGTATTTGTTATGCAAAACAAAA